CTTTCAGACAAACTATGAGCTCACTGTTAACATCCTCAGTTACACCTAAAATACTCTGGCAAGACAAGGGGTAAAAAAAGAGACTTGAAATTCTTGTGATAGAACGGAAGGACAAGAGGAAGATGCAGCATCCATCAAGGGAAGGAAAAGCAAGGTGCAACACCAAGCTGCAGAGCAGCTCTCTGCCAGCCGTGCAGCACACTCCGAAGAGTTATGCCCGGCCACAACTGCAGGCTGGTGGAAGATTAATCTAGTTAGTGACCCAAAGGAAAACACAGAAACAATATGATCAGCTCAGCAGTTCTAAAATAATTTTGCTCTCTATTAGGTCATCCTCTTTAAATACCAATTGTTTGTTGCCGGTTCTGTTGCCTATCAGCACTATTATTAAGAACTGCTATTTGCCGTTCGTCCTTTCCTGTCCCCTTGGCAATAACTTCCTCTCTCGGCCTCTCTTCTACCTAAGAGCGGGACATCTGTCTTCCTCCTCATCAGACAAACAAGCTCAGGCCTCTGCTGTCCCCTTCTCTGTGCCCAGCTGAAAGCCGTGGTGTGTCAGCCGGGTTTTTCCTTGTCTCCCATCAGCACGACAAAGTCCCGGGCAGGCCAGATGTGCGGATGGGCTGGGAATACGGACAGCTGTGGCCGAATTCAGGGGAGCTGAATTCTGAGAACTCCGTGAATGTAGATGCTTATAAGAAAACATTAGTTCCCGAAGCGGGTTAAAGAAGTTACTTATTGACCTGTGAAGTGGGAAGCGAGATCTCCCTTGTTTGTACATCTCGGGTATTTGGTGAGTGCCAGATGAACCTGATGAAATGCCAGGAGGATGTTCCTTGGGGCAAATTCTGCTCCTGCTGTGTTAATCAGTGGTGGAAGATCGCTGGTTTATAAACTGTGTAAACCTACTGTGGTCGTAGTTCTGGGAGCAAGTATTTTGAGGAAATCGTTACAAAGCCATGGCTTACAAAGTGATGCCTTTGCCACTCAAATGGGAGATTTTTGATGTAAAAATAACCCCAACCAAACATATTTGAACTGCCACTTTTGCAAGATCCTCACTGTTGGTTTGTGATTTTTTTCCCTCGCGTTGAATATTCCTCGATGATTTTAAAGTGCTTGAAAAGCTTTATGGATTTTGCAACTCATTTTTCACTGTTGAGTGAATGCAGTTTAAGCAAGCTTTGCTTTGGAGAAGCACTTACCCAGAGCTGCCTGGCTCATGCCTTCGTGGGAGGGTTGATCTGGAGGTAACACGGTGCTGCTGGAGGAGGAATGATTCCCATCGCACACACAATCCCAGCCACTGACTGGAACTGCTCGTCACGACTGCGCTCAGCCCTGCGCCTGCTTGTCTTGCTCTAAAAGGCATCTGTGTTGGCTTGCTCAGAATCAGACTGCAACTTTTTCCTGCCGATTTTTAGGGAGTGCAGAGGTTTCAGGAGTTATAACAAGGTGCAGTTCGAGGCATCAGATTTTTAACTGTTTTATAGAGATGAATTTGAACATCTGCAAGTTGTCACAGTTGTAATTCAGCTTGTCTCGGAAGCAGAGGTGCCAAACAACCCCTTGTATTGAAGCACAGAGTGTCTCAGATGAGAGTCCCTTGAAACGCTGACATACTTGTGCACCTTGAGCAGTTACCAAGCAGGAGGATGCTGATGAGCGAGGTCTGTGCTAGACCCGAAGCTCTGTACACTCTGCACTGCAGCTCGACTGAGCGCGGGGCTGATTCAACAGCAGGTTTGGGATTTTCAGCTCAAACACGCTCCAGACAGACCATCTCCCGGATGCCCCGTGGTGGCCAGCTTATATAATGCCACTTGCATAACCCCCTCAAGTACAGTCAGGGTCTCTCTCCTGCCAAATTAAGGCTCTCTGGGGTTCTGTGTCACATTCACGCTCTGTTTGAAACTGCACTTTAGTTCATCGCGAATTCCTTCTACACGGAGCGTGTGGCCATGGAGCCAGCGGGGCTACGAGAGTTGTCCCTTCAGCCTTGAACTCCCACCACCTTGCACTTAGAGTGTTTCACTTCCAGCCCAGTCTGCTGGATTATTCCCAGCGGCTTGTTCCCCTCTAGCAGCCCTGACAGTTCCATCTTGAGCCTTTGCCAGGGTGGTCTCTGTTCTGTGGGAGATTGCTCCTTTCTAGGGAAGTCTTGAAGTAGCCAGTCTGAGCTTGGGAGAGCAGAGGTCTTGGCAGAGAGGAGAGAGCGAGCCTTTGCCAGGGTGGTCTCTGTTGTGTGGGAGATTGCTCCTTTCTTGGGAAGTCTTGAAGTAGCCAGTCCGAGCTTGGGAGAGCGGAGGTCTTGGCAGAGAGGAGAGAGTGGCTGTTAGACACTGGGGAGGAAACTTTTAATTCTTTCCTCCTGAGTCTTCTCTCAGAGATGAGCACTCTTAATTACCACAGGGTAATTACTAGTGGATGAAATCCAAGCCCCTGCAGACTGTTGGGTCACCAGTCAATGACTTCACTTTGGGCTGGGTTTCACTCCCTTTTCAGTTCTGTAAAAGGCTGAACAGATGCCACAAAGAGCAAAAGAGAAAGCAGAGGGGGGGGTTTACTGGGGGTTTAACTTGCACAACCTCAAGTTTTAGCAGTGTTTGCAAGTGGAGTTAAAAGCCTCAGGATCTTTAAAACTCTTGCTGATGGTGGGATTCACGTTGCCAGAGGGACACTGAGGCCCAGTCCACAGGGCAGGGTTCAACCCCAAAGCAGGTTGCAGGAACAGGACAGGCAAGTCACGTCCCAAAAGCCTCCGTTTTACCTCTCGGCTCCGATGGGGGTGGCTCAGCCCAGCCCTCAGCACAGGCAGTGCCAGGCATCGGAGGGGGGCATGGTCCAAACCTCATATCACTCATGGGAAAGTATTTTCCATGGATGAAAACACATCTGCTCCTTCTCCAGTGGCTGGGCCTCCTCAGGCTGGTGCTGGCACCAGGTTTGGCAGAACGAGCTTGTTTGTTCAGAAGGAAAAGTGCTGGAGGCTGGGGCTGTGGGGCTCAGGTCTTTTCTTGTTGGGGGGAGACGGGATCTGCCTGTGAGAAACGACCACACTGGCGATAAATGCTGCCTCTGAAATTTTAATGCTTATCAGAGCCTTGCTGGATGAGCCGTGCATTGTAACGATCCCACCCATCACGGGGGAGTTAATTGAATCACCGAGGTGAACAGCGGGGCCATCCAGCATATGCTGAGGGTTTGATCAGCCCAGTCATTACCGCAGGACCCTCGTCACTCACCGTGCCGTGATTACAGTGCTGCGCCGGCCAGGGGATTTGGTGGGAAGTGGCCAATGAGGGGCCAAGCTGGCTCCAAATCCAGCTTTTTGCAAAGCCCCAGATAAAACAGGCTTCCATTAATAAGGCGAGAAAGGTTAGGACGAGAAGCATTACGGCAAATCTGGAGAGGTAAGGTGATAGTTTTGTCTGAGGCTTGCAGAGCATATGGCCCCAGCTTTCGTACGGGTAACCCAAGAGCTCGGCTGGTCCGTAAGTGGGGCATTATTTGCATGTCTGCAGTAGAGGTTTATTTGCTGATGTTAAAAAATTAGATAGCTGGAAACGCTTGATAGTGTAATCAGGAAGCTAAACACGGATTTTTCTGTATCCTCATGGCTTGTGTGCTCATTCCGCGCGTTAAATAAGTTTCTTGGGCGTGAAGCTCAGGAAAAAAAAAAAATCACCATAACCTGCTGGCTAACTTCAGGTTCTGTGTTTTGAAAGGGAGACTTCTGATCAGAAACTGTCGGGGAGCTTTCCACTCAGGGAGCTAGATTGTTCACGGGATCCAGTTTTTCCATGGCTGCTTTCTCACGGGTCAGATACAGAAATGGAAATAGAGCAAGTGATTGCACTAACTTAGTAAAAATGGAGACTTAAAAAAGTAAAGCTTGATTACGCAGAGCTGAGATGCATGCATTCTTTTCCGCCCTAAGCTTGGGTTCTATTGCTGTACAAAAATTGTGCCTTTCAACCTGTTTATGACAGCGTAGGCTGAAGCTTTCCCTAGACAGTGGTAATCTCTTCTGCAAACCACCTCAGATCAGTGTGACATGTCTTCACCTCCAGCCTCAGGGTCCCCTGCTGTTCTTCCCCTTCTTCCCCACTCCCCCTCCCTGCTAAAAAAAAAAAAAAAAGCAGCAGCTGTTGGAAAGTATAGCCCATTTGCTTTACAATGCCACTTTGGGAATATGATCCAGATCCTACATGGGAAGGAGAAAGCAACAGAGCGAAAGAGGGAATTTAGAGGCTCTGGAAAATAACTTCCTTATTTTAAGTCTGGTGTGGAAAGTTAAATGTTTACAGCAAGGCTCAGAGATAAAGCAGAACTGCTCTAAAGGTCTGAGCTCAGGCATCAGAGATCTTTAGTTTAATGTGAGTGATTTTAGAGTTTGTTGGTTGTTTTGTATGAGATGTCAAGTGCACTGAAAAGACTTTGACTGTCCTCCAGCAAGAGGTGCCTGTAATGAGGGTATTAAGATATGAGCACATTATATGGTAACAATGTGATCCTTACTGGGGATTATTTTTAATTTACTTCAGCACTTTACCAAAAGAAACGAGGTTCTCTGTGGAAGGCACTTCTGTTCATTATTCTGACACCCAATTTCAGTTCGTTACAGTGCACAAAAGACACAAAAGCAGGAGAATATACTACAACTGACGGCAGCCAGAACCATTCATAGCTCTACACTTTGGTTTTCTGCCAAGCGATTCATGGAAACTCTATTTATTTTTGTTGTCAGGTCAAAAAAAATCCACTCCTCCTGTCAGCTCCTCTTATCCCTAGAGGGAAACTCGTAGAAAATCTAAGAAATACCCAATTGCTGTTCCATGAAATGGATGTACTACAGGTAGGATGCATCTCGAACGTAGTCGGTAGGAAGAGGCGGTGTTTCGGAAAGCTGCTAATCCCAGCTCTCCGGCCCTTTGGTCAGAATTCCCTTGCTCTCTCCTGGGGACACTGACTCCATGTCTGCTTCCTTCCCTCTGCAGCTATCCATGAAGGAGGTCGGAGACGGGCTACACGAGCAGATGAACTGCATGATGGGCGCACTGCAGGAGCTGAAACTCCTCCAGGTCCAGACAGCTTTGGAGCAGTTGGACATCTCGGGGAGCCGAAACACTGGTTCTGGCATCGAGCAGCACCAGTGCTGCCGAGGCAGCCGAGCGGTGCCAGGGACCCGGCAGGATGAGCGGCTGCGGGGGGAGGCATCAGTGGAGGAGCGCAGCTCCACAGCCCTCACACGTGCCATGCCACGGCCAGGCCGTTTGTCCCATCCCGCTGCGCTTCCAGCAGGCAGCCACCTTAGGGACACCCCCTCCTCCTTCAGGAACCTCTGCGTTGAGGATGCTCATCACCCAAAAGGACCTTCCTCCGCATCGAGCGGGGCGGAGCACGTCCGCCCAAGGACATTCGAGCCCAGCAGCCAGGGCACAGCAGGGGGGTGGCCAGCGTTCCGGGAATGCCCAGGGTGTGACGATGGCCATGACTGGACGTCCTCCCTAATGTCCCAGAGCAGGAACCGGCAGCCACTCATCTTGGGGGATAACATCTTTGCAGACTTGGTTGGGAACTGGTTGGATCTGCCGGAGCTGGATAAGAAGGGGGAGAAGAGCGAGGCGTCCCTGTCCGTGAGCCGATCCCAGGAGCTCTGCAGGAAGTTCTCCCTCACAGCCAACATCTTCAAGAAGTTCCTGAGGAGTGTTCGGCCAGACCGTGACAGGCTCCTCAAGGAGAAACCTTGCTGGCTTCCACCAGAAGACAAACAGCCCGAAATTTCTAAGAGACCCAAAAAGATGAACAAGCTCAAGGGGACATTTTACTTCCCACTTCATGGGAACATCCAGAACCATCACAGCAAAGCAGAGAGGTGCCCGAAGGCAGAAGGCAACAGCGAGAAACCCAGAATTGGCACCAAGAAAGTCCACGATAGCCTAGACTACACCCAGTCTGGGTTTGACATCAATACGGCTGTTTGGGTCTGAGTCTGTCCCTGCTCTCTGCTCATTTCACACCAGCACGGAGCTGGAGGCTGTGCACGTCTCGAGGAGACCCCCGAGCTCCCAGCACGGGCTGAGATGAGAGAGGAGTCCTCTGCAGACGTGCTGTGGGCTTCAGTCGCCTGCAAACGGTGTTTCCCAGGGAACTTCAGCTCCAGGAGCAGCCACTGACACAGCCCCACACGGGGAGACTTGTGGGGACTGATATTGGCAGAAATAATCAGGACCTTTAGCAGCTTGAGGGCGAGTGATGCCATGGATGGTCAGCTTGAGCCTGGCTTATGGTAGCCGTTTGAGCCCCGTTCCCTCATCTCAAGTTAAAATAGCTGCAGCACAAAATTCACCTCGTGCATGTGTGTGAGTGTGCAAATATATATATAGTTTTTTAAAAAAAAACTTTTCCTGCTTGCGTGCACTAAAACTGGGTCATAAACCAGCGTTGTACCTGAAGCACTTGTTATTTAAATCAAAAGGAATAATTGAATTTACAAGACCTGAGCAATTGCCAAGTGGGGGTGTTGGACCCCAGCTTTGCTGCATTTCGGCTGGGGGGGTTTTCCCCCTAAATGGCATCTCCCTTGGACTCCCAGCACCACTCCTTCCCCTGCCAGTTAAACCACGGCTCCTTTCATGGAAGCTGGTGACACGGGTTTTGCTTCTGTCCCCATGCCCTTCTCCCCACCAGATACAATGTTGCAAAAGTTAATTGTTGAGGTTACAACAAGATACAAAGTTGCAACAGATGTTATTGTTGTTGTTTCCTATTGCTGTTGTGTACAAACCTCTTGGACAGAACCCAGTTCTCCAGTGTCTGGCTCTCCAGAGTTCCCAATAAAGTGGCATCAGTCTCCAGCGTGGGGTGACCCCTCAGTCCTGCTTTTTCCCCAGGAAGGGGGTCAGAGCCGGGAGCGTGTGTGGGTTGTGTCAGCCCCAGCTGGGACCGGGGAGTGTGGGGAGCAGCCAGGAGAGTTTCCATTCAAGGAGAGATCATAAGACTGCAGGGAGAAGAGCTGCAGCCAGAGGTCCCTGCCGGGGTCCCAGCGCTGCCCTGGGGACATGTCCCACTGCAGCCCGTGCACATCGCCAAGAGCCTTCGGGTAATGCTTCCACATCCACCTTCCTCCTCCGGCATAGGGCACCTGCCGCCAAGGGAAGGGCCTCAGGGCCCAGCAGTCCCTGGCTCATGGAGGGGGACAAGGCCAAGCAGGTCCTGCCATGGCCCCCTGCCCTGCCACAGATCCTCTCCTCGCCACCTCCAGGAGCTAAGCGTGACCGAGGCAAACCCCTGGCAGCTCCATGAGCCACAGTGTGAAGAAATCAGGGGCATATTGACCAGTTGGAATGAGTCCGGAGGAGGCTACAGAGATGC